ATATAAATTACCAAATTTACAATTATGCAACGCTTCATTGATTTAAATTAATAATATTATTATGATTTATTAATATTATTACTTGAAAACATATGAATAAAATTTACTAATAAAACTTTGTCTTTCATAATTGATGACTTTAATAGTTATTTTTTTCACATGTAATGAAATAAAATTAACCATATTGTCCCTATACACTAAATTAGTTTCATAAAGGTCTTTATTAAGAAAATAATAAATATCAAATAAATTATTCGATGTTAAAGTACGATTACGAACATGATTCAAACAAGTAAATGAGGTAGATGTAGCAAATATATCATATTCAATTAATAATTTTAATGGTTTATGTTTTTGATGTAATTTATCTAACTCACTTAAGTTAAAAATATATGATATGCCGTTATTGATAATATTTTTCATATTGATATTATCAATTTCAAAATATTGTGAATTCTTTAATTTGTAAGACTTATACACTGGTTTAAATTTATTAATATAATTTTTAATAATATTATTATTTTTTATTTTTAATAATCTAACATCACCTAAATTATAAGATAATACAAGGTTTTTAATGTCTAATGGTAAATCATAAAATATCATATAATATTAATATATTTATTTATTTAATTAGTAATTTAATTATGTGTTTAATCAATAATTTCAGGTGTTTCTTCTGGTTGTTTCTTTTTGTTGTAATAATATTCTCTACTCTTTTGATTTCTTTGTTCTTTGTTATTATGATGATACTCTCTATCTTTTTGTCTTCGTTCTTCCAAATTAGTTAAGCGATACTCTCTACTCTTTTGATTGTATATTTCTTTATTCTCATTATAACGTAATCTGTTCTTCTCATTAATTTTATCTTTATTATTGATGTAATATACTTGCTTTCGTTCTGTAATCTTCTCTTTGTTAGTTTCCCTATATTCTTTTCTTTGTTGAATTATATACTCCTTGTTGTTCTCTCTCCATTCTTTGCTTTTCAATGCTAATTCTTCCTTATGCTTATTCCTGTATTCATTTTTGGCTTCTCTTATTCTATCAGCATTAGTAGCGTTATACTCTTTTGCCCTTTGCTTGATATAATCCTTATTATTTTCTAAATATTCCTTTTTATATTCTTTCAACTCCTCATCTGTTCTAAATGGACGTGCTTTGTTTAATGTTGCGTTTAGTTCTTCTATATATTCCCTCTCACGCTTCAAAGCCATTAATCTATTTTCACATGTTTCAGTGTTTATCAATATCATATCAAAATTGTCCCAATCACCATTTTGACGAATGAATTTATACAAAGGCATATTGTAATGTATTTTGTCATTTTCATTATTACAGGTTCTTTTATGAGCCGACTTTCTATTTTTGAAGTTTATTGTATGACCCACATAGCAGTCTTTGATATTTAAATCATTACATACTATTTTATAAAAATGTGTTTTGGTGTAATTCATTTCTTTTCGTGGCATTATAAAGTCCTATTATGTAATATAAGTTAATCTTTAATTGTAAATCGTTTCTCGAAATTGATATAGAACATGCGATTGACATCTTTAGAATTTAAATTTACGAAAAAGAATGAATATGTAGAATGATTTATTGCTGTATGATACATTTCTAAAAGTTTATCCTTATCAACAATCGCGGCATTTTCTTCAATAAAACTCATTAATTCTGATATGTTTTTTAATCTGAAAATGTATAATGAACTGGCATTGACACGGATTATATTAGCGACTGTTTTATATTTTTGAAGACTACATATGCAAGAGATGGCGTCATGTCTTCCGCGCGTAAATAAACCGTGTAATATTTTTGAATATCTTAAAAATTTAGGGTCATCTGAAAAATCATCAATAACAATAAGAATTGAATGTAGTTTCTTCATCTTCTGTTCTTTCATATAATGAATTATCTTTCTTTGTGTGTTAATTATTTCTTCCAGTTCTTCAGGTTGGTAGGTGTCATAATATAACTTTTCTTTTTCGTCATCAACCTTCATATTATCTTTTTGATATTTCTTGACTTCAACGAAGGTAGGGTCATTATGAACTGACGGGCTAAAAATGAATATACGAGCGAAGCAGTCCCTATAAACATTTAAGATAAGGTTCTGAACCAAGACCGATTTGCCGCCTGTCGAAGAAGCAACTATAATACTTCTAAATGGTAATTTTGGCACGTGCTCATATTTAGATTGTTTGAATTCATATTCAGTTATGTTTATTGGTTTTATTATTGGTACATCTGACATAATAAAATAATATTAAAGACATTTAGAAAATATTTTATATTTATTATTTTATATGGTCATTAACCATTGCAGTTGTGGTAAAACTTATGATGACAAATATTTATTTAAACATCTAAATTCAAAACATCATCAGAAAGTTGTGGAATATAGATGGAATAAAGACGATACAATGAAAAAACTTTATAAGAAAAGAAAGGCAGAAATGAAAAAATAATTTATCTTATTATTTTATATGAATAGAAGTTATTCAGATTATATTGATATAATAGATAAAGTAGAAAATATAGAACAAGTAATAATAACCGATAATAAAATTAAGAAATGTTGTTATTATTCATTAGAATTAATTAAGTTAGGAATACAATATATTAAAAATATAAATATTAATATAGATGGGAAGAAAGAAAAAGAATAAGTCCGAGCCAGTTGTTTCTTCAACTGATGAAGAAAAAGAAGAAATTGTTAAAGAAACATCAGTTATTGAGTTTGCTTGTCCAATGTGTAAAAAAATCTTAGAATTAAAAAATGAATTAGAAATACAAAAGAAAGGAACTTGTAAATGTTCGTGTATTCCAGCCAGTTTCAAAATAAGTAAGAATGATAAGAAAATGAATATTGATAAAACTAAAGACTGTATAAGTCTGGAAACGGATGTTCATAATATAACTTTTAAATGGGGTAAGGATGCATCACTTTCGGAAAATGGTGATATCGAAACTCAGGAAACTATACGTGAAATAATGAAAAAATAGTATTTAAAAAGTAGATTTAACATAATTGCAACATTTAGTTTTAAAAGTTTAGTTTTAAAAGTTTTATTTTATAATATAATATATATTTACATGGATGAAGGATTAGAAAAGATGGTTAAAAAACTGAACAAGGTTTTAGAACAGAATAAGAATATCTTAGAAATCTTACAAGAAATGGAAAAGAAGAAACCATTAACAAACAGTTATCAAAGTAAAGAAGTAGATAGAACCAATGGTGAATATAAAAATAAAAGAAATATTTATTTAAACAAACTTAATAACAAAGAAATTAAAGAACCGAAGGCTTCAACTATGACATTTTATCAAATCGACTATGATGAAGATACAGGGGTTTATTCATAGATAATATTATCTAAATATCTTTAATAATGAACTTATTAGAGATGTTTAGTGGAACAGGCAGTGTTGGACTTGTTGCAAAGTCGCTCGGTTTCAATGTTATTTCATTGGATTTGAAAAATGCTGATATAAATACTGATATTTTGAAATGGGATTATAAACAATTTGATAGGAACCATTTTGATTTTATCTGGGCAAGTCCTCCATGCACTGAATATAGTGTAGCAAAAACTAGGGGAATTAGGAATATCGAATATGCTAATAGTATAGTTTTAAAAACTATTGAAATTATCAAATATTTCAATCCTAAGTATTTTGTAATCGAAAATCCACAAACTGGATTATTAAAAAATCAGGAGTTTATGGATGAGTTTGATTTTAAAGATGTAGATTATTGTAAATATGGATTTAATTACAGAAAACGCACTAGGCTATGGAATAACATTACAACTTGGAAACCTAAAGATTTATGTAAAAAGGATTGTGGCAACATCAGGAATGGGAAACATATTGAAACTGCGCAGAGACTGCCACAAAAAAGCAAAGCCGACTGGGGGGAAAACCCCATCATTCATTCACAGAGTGATTTATATAGAATACCTAGTGATTTAATACTTGAAATCTTGGTGAGTTTGACCTGACGCTAATAGGTTTTGTTGTGAAAACAAATGTAGCGAGCGGGGTTGTAAATCCAACATGGTACTATTCCTAGACACGAAGCATGGAAAAACAATTCCTCATGTTAAATCAACAACTGACGAAGACCGCAAACATCATCTTGTAAGGAACAAATAGGCATGGTGGAAAGAAAAGACGTGCATGGTGGAAAGAAAAGGCGCGCATGGTGGAAAGAAAAGGCGCGCATGGTGGAAATGCTGTTTTTTACAGGGTTTCCACCGATGGTGGAAGGAAAAAACGGGCATGGTGGAAGTGAAATTCTGTTTGGAACATGGAGTAAAACATCACTTTGTCATTGAAGAACAGTAATAAGTCATAATGTTTAATCATACTATAATAATAACATGTAAAATCTTATATGTTATAATTATACTGTACTTATAGTTTGTAAAGATTGAAATATTTTATTTTTTCTTGATTTGGCTGACTCTTTCAAAGTGCGTTGTTTGAACTTGGTATGCTCTTTTGATTTTTTCGTGCTTTGGCTGTTTGTATTTTATTTTGTTTGATACTCTTCTGATATTTTTTGTTGGTATGTTGCTTTGTTTTTGTTGATGTGTGTTTTTGAGTTTGTGTTCTTTGATGGTTTTTATTTTTGCTGTTTTGTTGGTATGCTTGTTTGAATTATTTAATGTTTTATGCTTTGATTAAATATTTTGTTGGGGGTTGTTCTGGTTTTTTAGTTGCTTGGTGGTTCTTATCTTGTTTTCTGTGAATTTTGCTGATTTTGTTGTATGCTGTTTGAATATTTGGTTTTGATTTTAGAAGTGCCGTTTTATGTATTTTTTCCCCCCCCCCCCCAAACCCCCCCAAAACCACCCCCCCCCCCCAAAAAAAAAAAAAGAAGGCCCCACACCACCCACACCCCCTAACCCCCCCTAACCCCCCCCAAAACCACCCCCCCCTGAAAAACGGTTCCTTTGGGCCACGTTGCATCCGTTGCATGTCTCCAGGCTCCGAGGAGCAGCAGGTTCTGAGAGCCGCTTTGGTGGTCGTCAGTGCAGGGCCTGGCCCCTCGTAAATGGCCGTGACTGGGCCGCTCCCTAGGACGTCGGCCACGTTTCCTTGGCTCACTCCCGGAGTTCTTCTCGGACTTTACCCGAAGTTTTTCGGGGTTGCGCAACTTCATTGGTTCATGCTTTTCTGCACATCCACTGAAGTGAGTTGGGAAGAACCTGTAGGTGCCTGAATGACTCAGAGACCAAGGTACAGCCCTTTCCGGCTCGTCGAAAGGTCAAAATGAAGGTCAAAAAGGAACAAACCGCCGCATGCAGATCAATGCGAGATCGCTTTTGCAGAAGACTTCCGCGTGCAGGTGCGGTGACACCGGGTTCACGTCCCCTTAACTTGGGGTAGGTGGGGGTGGTCATACAATCTTTTGCAGGAGTTTTAGACAGGCATTGTAAAGGATTTCGCAAAAGGGAGCCATGTCCACGACATCATGACCACCATGACGCAGGAGACCTACTTGTGGCACGTGTTTCGCACTTTTTTTTTTTGGGGGACTTTTGGGGGTTTTCATTTGACCCACTAACAGTTAGTCACTTTTAGCAGGGGATGTGAAAACGGGCCCAGTTTAGGTACAGTCATTGCCCTGGAGCCCATCATTCAGAGCTCAGAGAATGCCAAGGCCCCCGCTCTCGACAGGTTTCTCTGCGCGCGTGTTGGGTTCCGCTTCCTTTTTTTTTTTTGGGGGGGGGGGATGGATTCCGCAGGTTTCGGCTTGGATGTTCGTTCTCCAGCGGAACTCGTTCGTCGTTTCTTCCCAACTGACAGCTCTGCGATCCAACAAATTCTTTTCTTCAGGTTGGAGGCTTCCAGAGAACATTTGGAATCACCTCCCCCCACTGATCTCAGTTTTGGCCCTGCATAAGACCAATCTGGGTGGCTCGCTCGTCCTTCAGGAACATGGCTCAGCGGTTTTCCTTGCGGTTTCCCTTCGAAACCGGGCTCGCATGATTTCCCCGCGTGAAAGGTTGATCAATGGACTGGTGGTTTCCATTGATCATTGAAGTTCGATCGGATTCCACTTTGATTGAAGGTTCCTTTGAGGGGGGGACATGGCTCAGAACCCCTGAGCAACCAACACTGCCATGTCCCCAACCAGAACTTCTGGTCGCTCCCTCGGGCTCCCTCTTTAAAAAATGGAGGAAGCCAAAAGAGACGCGACCAGAGAGGGGCACCAACGACCCAACTCCAGACGAGGGGACCCTTGCCAGGAGTCCGACACGGCGCGGGGGGCGGCGGCTCGGCCTTTGGCCTCTGCAGATCTCCGCTCAAGGGAAGTCCGCCCCCCCCTGGTGTCTCAAACTAGAGAACCGTTTTTCTTTTTTTTTTGGTCAGTTCAAGCCCCAAACTAGGGAACCCCTTTGAGGGGAATCCTTCAATGGGTGTGTCTCAGAATAGGGGAACCCCCTTCGGATGGTCAGCTGTTGGAAAGCAAAGGGACGCCTACCTGAGACACACCCCATGGACGGATTCCTTTTCCTTTGAGTTGCAAAGAACAGTTGGGGTGCGATTCTCATTGTCCATTTTGGTTTGAAACTACTACTATCCCCAGGCAGCTCGCGATTTGCTGAGGTTGGTACAGCAAAGGCGGACGCGGGCGGCCCGGAGAGTTGCTTTTTGGCGTGATCCAAGGGGCTGCGGGTCTTTTGGGGCGCCCCTGGTTAGTGCGGTCCCCGGATGAATCCGAAGTTGAAATGACAGCCCGAGGGCATTGCCGCAAATGGTTGAAACCACCCCGTATGTGGGCCCATGTGAACACCCCGCAATGCCGTAAGAATTGCAAGTACACCGAGCAGACTCAATCACAAAACCATGGTTCGCACGGACAATCGATGGCGAACAACTCGTGATTTTCTATGACAGTCCTTTTGACCTACTGGACTTGGGCGTGCCTTTGTTGACTGCCAAACTGACTGAACATCTAGTGGAGGGTTTCCTGGTTGCTTGGACATTTTTCAGGCATAGGTCCTGGATGTCGCATCGCAGGCCCTCTCGCTGCCGGCTCGCGGCTCATGAGAGTCCAGGAAGTCCAACCGCCCCGGTAGTTTCCCACGCCTTCGCCATGTACGATTCCGCCGATGAGACGGCTTCGGAGGCTTCCACTTGGGGGCCCGGGCCCTGGCGCGGTTCTTGGGTCGGCAGGATGATGAAGCAACAAGAACGGTCTTGGCGCCTGGCCTCACACCAGGGTGGTTTCAGCATGTTCGAGCCCGAGGTCGAGACCCCCAACAATGGTTGGGGGAGCAACGCTTGTGGTTGGAGACACTGGTCTGCCACGGTTATCTTCATATGTCCGGTGGGTTAGCAGGGGCAAGGATGGGAGCTGATGATTCTGGTGTTTTGGTTCGGTGGTTGGCCTTGGGTGAGTTTACCGAGGCATGGTTCAACCTTAGTAGGCTTGCCAAGGTTTGTTAGGTCAGTGCCCTCATGATCATGGTTGTTGGAAGTTTGGCCTTTAAAGTGTCATGGGGAAGGCAATCCCATTTTGGTACCCGTCCCGCAGGCGAACACAGAACCCACAACCCTATGTTTTGGTGACCCCATTTTTGGTTCCATGTTAATTTGCAGGGGAGTATCGCAGATTTTTTCCATTCTTTTTCGGGAACCGGTTTTTCCTTCTGTCCCCCCCCCCACCAAAAGGACTCCACTAAAAAAGGACTCCACTAACATAGCACCTGTGGAATGGCACCTGGAAGATTAGTTTTCTCTTCAATGGACCCTCTGGCAGGTGCCATGTTAGTGGGAGTGAAGGTAATTCAGTGGTAATTACCCTCCAAAATTATGTTTTTCCTTTTTGGCCCCCCCCGCAAAAAAAAGGGAAAGAAAAAAACAAACAGAAAGTACCCTCAAAAAGGACAGGCCCAAATGGCTGTGGGTCAAAACCAATGGGATCCCATTTTGGGGTAGGTGAATTCACCACCCATTTTAGAGCCTATTTAGTGGTTGGATTGAATCGGATGTTCACTGGCGGCTAAGCGATTTGGATTTTGACCCATGGCCAGATGGAAATTCTCTCCAACGCCGTTTTTCTTTGGACCCCTCAGCCGGCGCCTCGGCGTCTCGGCGCACAGGATGGAGTCCATCGACAGCGATCTCAAGGGACTCCTGGGACACAACAATGTGCCTGGCCTTCAGACGGCCCAACCAGAATCAAAACCCTTTTCGGGAGGCCCGACTCCCAAAAAAAACGACGAATTTGCCCACTCAGGGTTCTGTTTTTGACTACCTGCAAATAGACTCAAACCCAAGGGTTCCCTTTTTGGGGTACATGACCCACCCCTGAGTTGAAGTCTATTTGCAGGTCGGAGTGGAACCCTGGGCCCACCCGTGTTTCTGGCTCCCCCCTTTTTATTGGTTTCACCAACGCGTCAGGCCGTGGTCATTCACTCACGCATGAATCTGATGAGCTATGCAAAGCACGGCACGCTGACCATGACTGTCCTTTGGATATTTCCCGTTACAAACTAATGTGGTCGACATTTGGCAAGACACCAAAATGAAATCAACCACCTTTGCCCAGATACCCGGTTGTTTAGTGGCTTTAGTGGCACCTTGCTTGATGTGCCTCCCCACTTCCAGTGGTCCTGAAGCGCTTCCGTTCCGACGAGAGGAGGTTTTATTGGAGGCTCCTTTTGAGGTCGCCCCGTTTCGGGGTTCCATGTTACCCCTGCTGCAGGGTAACATGGCCCATAGAGGACACTCCTTCCTGATTTGAGGCAACCGGTCTTTGGGCTTGCCGGAACGTTCCGGCACACTCCGCCCGAGTGGACCCCCCGCACTCACCCCCCCCCGCCCACGCGCGGCAGCGACCCGATAGCCAAGGGGGTGTCAGTTTTGGTCCTTTGAGCTCGCCTGACTTGCAGCACCTCAAGACTTGCTGGTGCTCAAATTAGGGAGAATGAGAGAGATGGAATGAACCTGGCGATTCCCGGCCCGAAAGGAAGCCATAGGATGGTTTATAGGGGTCATGCCCTCTTTCTTCGCGTATCGCACTGGCAAGAAAATGCGGGTCTTTGGACTTGACTGGGGAACAGTTAAATGCCACTCATCGTGCCAGGTGGGGGGCCTTGCAAAGTAGTGGTTTCCAAAACCTGCTTGGCTTGCTTTGACCCAATACATTTTTGAGAAACACCGAGATGAAGCCAGGGATTTCAGATGATGTCTCGCCAAAAGGGGACTCTTTCAACAACCCCCAGGGAACCCCCATTTTGAAATGTTTGGGAGCGTCGTTTTTTTTGGGGGGGACCCAGGACCCACAAACTGTGGTTTTCCTCTTGGCTTCCCCTATAAACTTACAAAAAGGTCTATATATTGTGGCTTTCTTCTTGGCTCCCCCTAGAAGCCCACAAATCTGGGGATGCTCTCCAAATAAGGGACAGCCATAGGTGTCCTCGTTTGGTGGAAGATAGATGGCGATTCCTGGTTTACCTGGTGGCTTTTTGTCATCTACCAGGGCCATCTATTTGCCCTAAAAGGACACCTATGGGGACAGCCCCAGGTGCTTCTGACTGCTGGCATCATCGTGGCGGACGTGGTGGGCGCGGGGATTTTGGCGATGCCCGTAGCTGGGTCCTCGGATTCCGAGAGGGGTTGCACCGCGAAGGGTTTGCGGGGAGATGGCCTGTTTGTTTGTTGGGTTGGTTGGCTGCTGGGTTGGTTTGGTTGGTTTGGTTGGTTGGTTGGGTTGTTTGTTGGTTGGTTGTTGTTAGAAACTTGCCCAACAAGCTTTACGCGACCCAGGGCAAGTTGTGGAAATGGATGTTATAGCTTCATCTTTTCGTTCGAACTGCTTTTCTTTTTGTTTTCTCGGGGTCGTGGGAAGACTCCCTTTTTCAGGGCTCCAAACGTTGCTCAAAATCGGGATTTGAACCACGCGCAAGTGTTTGGTTTCCCCCCCTCCTTTTTGTTTTTGGAGGATTTCACCCACAAATGCTTTTTTGTTCCCCACTTTGCCTCCCTTGAGCCATGAGCACCTGAGCCACAATCAAAACCCGGGTAGATGTAGCTTAGTAAAGGACGATCCCAACCAAAAAATAGCTGCGGATCTCCGCCGTCTGAAGTCCTGAAGCATGGTTCTGGGTAGACCATATTAGCGTAAAACAGAAGTCAATGCAACTCTGTCGCCCCAAAAGTGTAAATATGCATCCCTTGTCGTAACCGCTCATGTAGTGTTTATTTCAATCCTCCACTCCGATCGCCCAGACAAACCGACCAGATAAAAAACGCGCCAAGGAGAAGGGAATGA